TTTGAATAAATCAAAAGTATATAATAATAATATGTCGCCTTGTCTCGTTAATATTACAGTATTATCTAACTGCTAATTATTACTTGCGTATTAAATTTTTTAATTGATCTGATTGGTCATGCAGATCCTCGTGACTTTGTTTTCATCATTTTATTGGTTAATCTATTTTTAGATATACGAACATCACATGGAAATTCAGGTGACATATTTGAATGGAAACAAATCCGCCCATATGAAGAGGCGAAAAATTTGATGCGGCTGATGATAACAGTTCCAGGCAAGAATTATAATGCGATTAATTACAAAGTATTATCTGTTGATCTAAGTTTCTACATTCTAGACAACAAATCATTAGCTGCATCTGAATCGCTACCGGCTTCTTGCAAAGGATCTTGAGAAGTGCTACAATTTCAATAAAACATTTATTTAATATGAATAATAATATAACAGTGATCCTGGCCAATTATCGACTATTACTAAGCTGATAATTTATCGGATTAACTTGTTTACAGCTATTTTCATATTCTGGGACATTGAAAAATTTTAACTCGGTAACTTATCAATTTGACCATCAGAAATTTTTCACAATGACCCAGAATATATGAAAATAGCTCTAATTGATTTTAATTTGTAATCTTTCGAAAAATTCAGTTTCGATCGTTTCCACATCTGGAAATTATGAACGTAATACCTGCCTTACTATTTGCTCATATTTACCTTCATTATAATTTTCCGTGTAATCGTATCATGATCGGGAATCTTCTGTAGAAAGATTCCTGGTCACAAATGATCACGTGGGAAAATCACAATAAAGGTAGGCATGAACAGGGTATTATTCATTTATTTTCTGTGAGAAGTTTAAAATTACAACAGAGGATTCCCGATGGTAATATGATACAGATAACCCTAAGGGCTATATATATCCTACAATCATCGAGAATCTGTTATAATTTTAAACTCTAGAAAATACGTAATACAAATAACTCTTGCTTTAGTCTTAATAAATAAAAAAAAGGCGATTAGATCAGCTAAGCCGATAATTTGCTTTTTCATTGTCGGCAAGGATCACTAATGGAAAATCAGAAAGATTCATTAAATTTACATGTTTGGATTCTTTCTCGGATCCAAAAACTGATCAATTGAAGTGGTATCTTTAGATACATTGGCAGGCTTTTTGCCCATTCTAATTTATTTTAAAATAAGCAAATCTTTAGCAACAAAAAAAAAAAAATACATTCAATAAATCACAATGACTACCTTCTGGATTTAATAACTGTACCGCGAAAAGTCTTAGTCAAAAGAGATTCGTCTGGCTGTTTATTATTAACTGATTCATCATCTTCCATTTGTTCGACGTTATTATCTAACCTTGGTTTTTTGAAACGATCAACTTCAGCTTCTTCGTCAATTAGGTTGGAATTGGGATCCGGTTCGTCTGTAAATTCACCATCTGAAAGCACCACTGAATCTACTTGTTGACTAGGAATGATTTTTCCTAAAAGAGTAAATTTAGTTTAATGAATTATGCAGATACTATCACATTAAATTAACATTCATTAATACCATTAGTGTTAAGTGCTTTCGTCAACTTTTTTATTTTCTTTTTTTTTGCATTTAGAATTTGTTTGAACTTATCAAATCAGAAGGAAAATAAATTTGCGTCGCGTTTAGTATATATAAATAATCAAAGAAAATTTGTCTAAACACAGATTATTCTACTCACCTTTTCCATTAAGATTGCTTCGTGATTAACTTTTTCTGCAACCATAATTTCAATCCTTTCTTGCATTCTACCACGAATAGTTTCTAGATCAGATAAACGCGTCTCAATTGCCACACTTTTAGTCTTTTCGTTACGAAATTACGAAAAAAAATTTTTTGTTATATAAACAAAAAAAATATATATATAATTATTTATACAATAGTAATATACCATAAGCTGTTTCCGTTCATCAATAAAAAAATCTATCCACTCTTGCCACACTTTAGCATTTTCAAACTGAGAGACTAGAGTCAGCGTAGCATTTCCGATGTTGAACTGTACGGTCTATTCTTTAATTAATTTGAGGCAAATTACAATCATATTTAAATACGAACAATCATGAAGAGATACCAGAAAATGATCAATACAAAACCGGTGCGTTGGAAGAATAATTCGGAATCGACCACCTCCATACGAACTATTATAAACATGTAATAACATCAATAAAAAATTATACATTAATGTATTAAACCGATACAATTTATATTTAATTATTACCCTGGCATGCTTTTCTGAAACCGAAATCCGACACGACAATTTGTAGGAATCATACTCTTCTTGTCCTGACAATGCCGCCTGTGTTGCTCCGCAGAATTTCGAAACATCAGGAATGCCACTCGGTTTAATCTGTTTTAAATCAGAAATCGTCACTTTCATGACCATAAATACAAAATTTATGATAATATAGTTAGTAAAATTATGAAAACGCGTTATACCAAACGACAAAGTATGAAAAAAGAAAAATTACACGTTGTTGTCCAAAAAGATTTACAATCAGTAACTGTTAACTCACACACAACTTTTTCATCAGGAGCCGTCAAATTTAATAAGGGATTGATTTGCCATAATGTTCTAGCGTAAAAAAATTTATCGTCATTAGAAGCTACACGAAAACACGAAACGTTTTTATTAGTTTGGGTAGCCATAATAAAGTTACTGAGGTTTATCTTTACGTATTAATGGAAATTTGCTATCCGTGTCCGTAATACAAACACAAAGCCTCTGCTTTTTTTCCTTTAATATTGTGGTTTGAAATTTCGTACTTACGCTCAACAAGATCTTAGTTTCAA